ATCTCTGCGACCAGTGTTTGCCAACTATCATGATTCTACATCAATCATCATGTTTACAAAGCAGTTCTCTTTTATGTTCAGACTGGTTACAATAAGGCAGTTGTAAAATGGTAAATGGGCGTAATGCTGACCACATTACCCACCGAGTTCCGATTGGTCTGTAAAAATATGGGTGCTCTTCCCATATACCCGATGCGTGTAAAGGGATACTTACTTTTTTAAACTTTTTAAAATGGTCAATGACTCACATCTCAACATGGTCACAAGAAAGATGTATATTCTCAAAATGTGTACTTTGTTGTGCAATAGACTTGTCATAATATTTGACCTCTGTAATGCTAAAGTAAATTAGTGAAAACCAATTTGGAAGCTGTGGAGGTGTGGTTTTATAGATGAATGATGAGAATACCCTGGACAGATATAAAGAGTAATGAAGATGTCTTGAAAGACACTGGTTCCTGAAGAGAACTGATAGCACACATCAGAAAGATACAATATACATTCTTTGGTCATGTGATGAGAAGGAGAAAACTGGAGTACATCGTGACGGTAGGAAAGTTGGAGGGGAGGAGAGGCAGAGGAAGACCGAGAGAACAGATGCTGGACAGTTTGGCATCATGGAATGGAAGATTATCTGTGTCAGAGTTAGCTGAAAGTACACGAGACAGAAGGTTGTGGAGAGACATGATTACCAATGCCACACGGCATGGACTCTAAGAAGAAAAATGCTAAAGCCAGTCTTCTTCCAGTGATTCTAAATACATAACAAAGAGGAAACAAAACAAAATGTTGCAATGTCCTTGTTTACATTTAAAACAGTGAAATATTACTTCTATATCAGAACTTTTTTGGGCCTTAACCCACATTTCTGGCATAAAGTAAGATATGATGACTTCTTCTTCATCCCAGTTTATTAAATTACAAACACTTGATAAATATGATTTTGGTTTCTTTTATTTTAATAAAAAAATTTTTAAAATTTGTAGACATCTTCTGAAATTGTAAATTTTACGAAATACATCATCAAAATTATGAATCAAATATTTATTTTGTTGAGATCTAGAAAAATGTGTAACTACGTACAAGTGAATTGGCAGCACTAGCAAACAAATACATAGCCATAAAAAAAAGAAACATCTATAAAAGTTACTGATTCAGTAGAAATGCCAGCACTCCATTCTTTATAAAATTCAGAATGCCTGCATTCTATTCTTTCTAAAAAAAACATGTTAGTTTATAAATTACAATATAAAATCATCTTAACATGACACTCCACAACATTGTGATCTGAGTGTGAATGTTGTTACTATCAATGTGAAAACAATAAAAGCTAAAGGTCTACAACATTGTACCTACCCTTGGAGCACACACCCTCAAACACCGCACACTTATTCCCATAGTCCATGTTGTGTGGCATTGGTAGTCATGTCTTTATCCACAGTTTTCTGTCTCTTGTACTTTCAATCAATTCTGACACAGATGATCTTCCATAGTCCATGTTGTGTGGCATTGGTAGTCATGTCTTTATCCACAGTTTTTTGTCTCTTGTACTTTCAATCAATTCTGACACAGATGATCTTCCATAGTCCATGTTGTGTGGCATTGGTAGTCATGTCTTTATCCACAGTTTTCTGTCTCTTGTACTTTCAATCAATTCTGACACAGATGATCTTCCATAGTCCATGTTGTGTGGCATTGGTAGTCATGTCTTTATCCACAGTTTTCTGTCTCTTGTACTTTCAATCAATTCTGACACAGATGATCTTCCATAGTCCATGTTGTGTGGCATTGGTAGTCATGTCTTTATCCACAGTTTTCTGTCTCTTGTACTTTCAATCAGTTCTGACACAGATGATCTTCCATAGTCCATGCCGTGTGGTGTTGGTAGTCATGTCTATCCACAACCTTCTATCTCGTGTACTTTCAATCAGTTCTGACACAGATAATTCTTAATGCCATGATGTCAAACTGTCCAGCATCTGCTCTCTCAGTCTCCCTTTTTTCTTCTCCAATCTTCCCAGTCACGATGTCTCCAGTTTTCCCCATCTCATGACACAACCAAAGAATGTAGATTTCTCCTTTTGATGCGGGCAGTCAGTTTCCTTGGTGAGTCAGTTTCTTTCAAGACATCTTCAATACTCTTTTTATCTGTCTAGGGTATTCTCATCTTTCATCTATAAAACCACATTTTCACAGCTTCCAAATAATTTTTAACTTTTTGACCAACTGTCCATGATTCACTTCTATATATCAGGATAGGATTTATATATCTTCTAAGAATTCTCTTTCTCATCTCAACTGACAAAGAAAGATTGCACAGAACATGTTTCAAAGCTCACATAAAAGATCCAATATTTGGTCATCTTTAAGAACATCCTGAGTTGGGCTGAAAAAAGCACCAACATTACAGCTCTTGGAATATTCCCATAAGTTCTCCAACCCTATCTTCAGCAGCCTGCAAAAGTGTTCTAATGCCGTTAGTATAGGTAGCCGTTTGACTACATGTCCATCTAACCTTTCCTCTCACAGCTCTATTGACATTTCTTCTTCTTCTTCTTAAAGTCCATGCCCTGTGGCATTGGTAGTCATGTCTATCCACAACCTTCTGTCTCGTGTACTTTTAATCAACTCTGACACAGATAGTCTTCCATAGTCCATGCTGTGTGGCGTTGGTAGTCATGTCTATCCACAACCTTCTGTCTCGTGTACTTTCAATCAACTCTGACACAGATCATCCTGCATGCCATGATGTCAGACTTTTTAGCATCTTTTCTCTCAGTCTTCCTCTGCCTCTCATTCCCTCCAACTTTCCTACCACCATGATGTACTCCAGTTTTTCTCCTTCTCATCACATGACCAAAGAATGTAGATTGTCTCTTTCTGATGTGGGGGATCAGTTCTCTTTGAGAGTCAGTTTCTTTTATTCACCCATATCTAATTCTATTGTGTATATATTTTTAGGCCTTCCTCTCTCTTTTTCCCTGTTGGTTCCAAAGAAAGGATTTTCACATTAAAAGGATTTCTCAGCATGCGTCACTGTTTCTTGATTATAATAACATAGACAATAAAAACTTGTAACATTAATTAATAATGCCATTTACTGTTTGATAACATTAATTAATAATGCCCTTTACTGTTTGATAACAAATTAATAATGCCATTTACTGTTTGATAACATTAATTAATAATGCCTTTTGCTGTTTAATTAATAATGCCATTTACTGTTTGATAACACTAATTAATAGTGCCATTTACTGTTTGATAACAAATTAATAATGCCATTTACTGTTTGATAACATTAATTAATAATGGCCTTTTGCTGTTTAATTAATAATGCCATTTACTGTTTGATAACACTAATTAATAGTGCCATTTACTGTTTGATAACAAATTAATAATGCCATTTACTGTTTGATAACATTAATTAATAATGCCTTTTGCTGTTTAATTAATAATGCCATTTACTGTTTGATAACACTAATTAATAGTGCCATTTACTGTTTGATAACAAATTAATAATGCCATTTACTGTTTGATAACATTAATTAATAATGCCTTTTGCTGTTTGATAACACTAATTAATAGTGCCATTTACTGTTTGATAACATTAATTATACAACAAATATTTCTAATAAGAGAGCAGTCTTGGTTTAGCAGCAAGAGCTCACCTGCAAAGGTTATGGGTTCAAAACGTCTCAAACTGGCCCTAACCCCAACCCACATATTTCCCACGAGAGAGTGAAGCCTAGGTCCCATAAATGCATGCAGCCTAGGTCCCATGACTGTATGCAGCCTATCTACCACCCTCTGAAATATTAGACTGTCTCTGACCTGTGGATTTCCCCTTTTTGGGGGAGGATATTGATAAAGAAACTTCTTTTTTCAATGAACAATTACAATACTTATTGAGCATAGCTAATATATACTTATCAGTGCTGGAAGAGGTAAGAGTGGACATATGGTTTTTGCAGTAAAATCTTGAGAAAAAAAAAAGAAACAGAATCGATAAAGAAAACAAACACTGAGGTATTGGCTGCTGCTTCAGACATTGCAAGTTCACTATCTTCTTCTTCTTCTTCTTCACGATCACCAGCTGTTAACTTTGGCAGAAAGCTCTGGTTGTTCATCAACTTCTGGACTGCAGTCCTGTTCCAGAACCTGAGTGTTGTGTGTGCATCCATTTTACAGATCTGACTCATGTGTATGCAGACTGCTGGTTCCTTGCCTCTCAGGCAGATGCACTCCGTCTTCAAAGGAAGCTCCCAATTAGTTGACTCTTACAACATAACTCTATAACAGGGCCCTGGAATCAACACGGGGAAGATCAAAACCACAGGGAAAAGTGATATGATATATTTTGCAAGTTCTTTTTTTTTCCACACTATATATACATACAAATATATATATACACCAGGAAAAGAGTTAACAGACTTGCTAAAAATGGAACAAAGGAAAAACAACACACCCATCCATTGTCGTTACCAGAAATCATAATGCATCAAGTGAAAATACAAGGAATTGTGGAAAGAACAAAACATCCACAAGACCACATTTGCAAACTCAACAGAAAGCAACGTACAACATTTTTCCTTCTACGAACAGGACACTGCAGGCTCAACTACCACATGTATAAAATAAAGATTGTATAATCCCCACAGTGTGCCTGTCAAACAGGACCACAAACACCTGAGCACATTCTGCAGACCTGCCCACTCTACCTACAACTTCGAAAAGACACCTGCCCTGAAGAGCAAAGTGTGCAGAGCAAGCTGTGGGGAACTATGAAGGACCTGCTACTGACATGCAAGTTCATAGAGGAAACCCACCTAATGGTCTGATTTGAGCATACAAAACCAAAAACTGTGTATATTTGGTCCCCTAGAAAGTAATGTCTTTTAAGTTTGTTTTTACATACCTTATTGAAAAGTTGCAATTATAGTTTGGGGCTAAAAGAGGTAATATATTGTAACAGTAACAACCTTTGAACTATGGACATTATGTTATATAAGAGTTCTTATAAAATAACTGACAAAAAGTAACAATGCTGAAGGAACTAACTGTGTCATCGTGTTTGGGGATTTTATAGGCCCTAGGTCAGGACTGGATTTCTCTGGTACTCTGGGAGGTTCTTCATGATTGGCTTCATCTGGGTCCCAACTCCCACAAGTTGGGAACCGATGGGGAACTGGTGGGAACTGGCTTTGGTCTCCAACTTGAAAGACCAGCCCCATCCCAATCTCCACGTGGTACTCAATGTGGCAGTGCAGAAACCAGATTCCTAGAATTGGGAACATGAAAGAAGGACATTGCAAACTGGCAACTCAGAAAAACAAATTAATAATTGTATGTATATAAATAAATTATTTTCCCTGTGTGTTTTCTGGGGTCCCATTATGGGAAGAACAAGAAAAGACCCACTGCTACCCAACAAGTGGTGAAAATAGGATAACTGCAGTCAAACTAATATCAAAAGTTAATCAAATGAACTATGACTTTAAAGCATAACAAAATGGGGAGCAGAGTTGAGTTGAGTCAAGAATCGACATCATACCACTTGGGGCATTCCCATAAGCGCTCCGTCCCCATCCTCAGCAGCCAGTGAAGAGTTCCTATACTAATGGTGCCAGTAGCATTCTGATTAAATGCCTGTCTTGCCTTTCCTCTGAGCCTCGAGCATCTGCCAGAACCTCTCGTCACTCACTGCTGCATTAATCTCACCAGACTGTGGTGATCCATCTGCTCCGACGAACTGTACACGCTCTCCCCTGAGGCACTCATTATGTATCAGTATTCCACCAAGTTGTGCAGAGCCAGAAGTCTATCCATCTGTTTATTTCCTAACACACCGGCGCATCCCAGAGAAAAAATCCAGACAATACTCCTCACCCATGTCCTCCCCGGTGAAGCATGCCACTCTGCACGAAGCATGTCTGTCCTTACCATCCTCAGCAAGCTTTCTGTGTCAGTTACAACCATGATATGTGTGTGTATGTGTTGTGTTCTCTAACAAGTTGGAAAGCTGCAGTAACTGCCTCCACCTCCATTCTTAAGCTGGATGTTGTGGTATCATACGCTAGGCTCTCCTGCACCAAACAAGTAGAACAATATTCCTATAAATAAACAGAGAGGGGAACCATTTGAGGCCGTTAAATATTATGAATTAATCAAGTAACAAAAAGTATTGTGAACGGCACTCATAGAAAGAAGTAGAAAGATAGAAGAACACACTAGACAACATAAAAATCGAAAGCTATAGTTACCGTGCCGGGAATTGAACCTGTCACCTCCAGACGGCGTCTGCGCCTCGCCATGAATACAAGTGCACTAAGATACATGGTCAACTCGGCACCCTTAAAAAAGGTGTCTCATTGGCCATGTCTATCGTACAGCTTGAAATCCACGACTATGGAATACGGACAGAATTCAATTCAACCCATTGAAATGGCACCATAGGTTACAGAAATTTATATTAACGAGGCAAATGTCAAATAACAATCACAGCAACAATTTACGTACACAGTAGACCTTATTGCCTTGTCTAGATTACACAAACATTTAAGAAAGGTATTTGATTGGTAGGTTCCGGTGTGTATACAAATAAACAGAGAGGGGAACCATTTGAGGCCGTTAAATATTATGAATTAATCAAGTAACAAAAAGTAGAACAATATGCACAAAATACAAATTGACCTTTCGGTCGGGGCCTTTCTCTGAAACCTTGATTTGTACTGTTTTGTGCACGTTGTTCTGCTCCCCCATTTCGTTGAGCCTATAGGTCACATATGATTTGATTAATGTCTTGGTCCCTAACAAACAGGTTATATGAGTCTACTAATTAGGTGCCTTTCTTTCAAAGCCTGACCAGGTGACCAAACCATCTGATTCTTTGATGTTCTATAAACAAACGCCAGTGTGTTGGGAAATGAACAGGCGGACAGACTGGCTGGCTTTGCACAATTTGGTGGAATACTGATACATAAGGCAGACGTGGTTAGTGCGTGTACAGTTCAGAGGAGCAGATGGATCACCACAGTCTGGTGAGATTGATGCAGCGGGGAGTGACGAGAGGTTCTGGCAGATGCTCGAGGCTCAGAGGAAAGGCAAGGCGAACGTTTAATCAGAATGCTACTGGCACCATTAGTATCGGAACTCTTCGCTGGCTGCTGAAGATGGGGACGGAGCGCTTATGGGAATGCCCCAAATGCTGTGATGTCAGTTCTTGAATCAAATCAAATCAATCATGTTCTATGAAATCATTCACCAGTGCTGTCCCTACTGTTGTTCTTAGTTTATCCTTGGTGACTCTTGTCTCTTCTTGTTTCTCCAGCCACATTTCTTACACATCTCATTTCACATGTCGTCATTTGTTGTCATTATGTTTGTCTAGTGCTGTCAATATCTAGCACAAAGTTGGTATGAATGGCACATTTATCAGCTGCTATTGTATGTGCCTGTTGACATACCTATGCCCAAAAGTGGCACTATTTGATGATTTATTTTGTTGGTCTTCTATATTCAGCTTTCCTTTTCTCTGTCCAATCCTCCATCCTCTATGAATGCAATGCCTAGTTACTTTGTTGTTGTTGTTATCGATCCAGCGGCGCATGAGCTTTCGCCCTTTGGCCCAATGCCATGTAGTGGAATTTGCATGTTTTCACAAGCTGTTCTTTTCCTCCGTACAAGGTGTTCCACTTGTCTGGTCTCGGAGGGAGTAGCGCTCTTCTTGTCTCACTGAGTTTTGGGCACTCAAAGAGATGGTGTTCAACAGTTTCGTAGGGGTAGTTACATAGCTGGCACTCTGGGGAGTGTTGTGGCTGTATTCTGTTTAGGTGTCCATTGAGTGGAGTATGTTGCGTTCTAAGTCTGAAGATGGTGGCCTGGTCCCTTCTTGTTAGATGGTTAATGCTGTCATTAGGATCAGGGCCAGACATTTGTCTATAAACCTCTCTTCCAGTGTCTCCCATGGCCCATCTGTTCAACCAAGTCTCTTTGTTTATAGCTCTTATCAGTGTTTTTGCTGTCTGGAGGGTTGTCGCTGTAGGTGGTTGTTCTTGTGTTGCTCCTTTCTTTGCCAATCTGTCAGCTCTGTCATTACCTGGTGTGCCGGAGTGACCTGGGAATCCACTGCATCACTATTCTGATGTTGTATGAGGTAATAAGATGATCAGCATCCAGGATTATCTTGGCTATGTCAGTTCTGCAGCGTTCATTGCCCTCCAGAGCTTGAAGGGCAGACTTGAATCTGTGAAGATGACAATATTTTGGACCTTTGAGGGGTAAACATCCATTACAGTCTTTAGGTGGTATACTGCTGTTTCCAGTGCAATTATTTCAGCTTCATAGTTTGAACAGAATTCCCCGCATGCATCAAAAATCTCTTCAACAGATCCATCGGGATAACCTATGTAGATTCCGTAACCTGCTTTAATGGTAGCTTTAAATGCTGATCCATCAGTATAGACATGTATCCATTCTTGGGGGTAAGAATCAACGGTCTTTAGTGATGAGTTCATAAGAGCGATTGGGTCGGACTGTTTGGTTTTCCTCGCCTACCAATTTAGTTTGGACTTCTGGAGCTTTAAAGCGAGCATGTGGTGGTAGGTTTTTTGCAACATTCTGAATTCCTTGACGTCTTTCTGGGAGGTGGTATCTGTCCTGAATTTCATTTACACACAGTGTAAAACCGATTTGTGCTTTATTCTTTGTTTGGATTCCCAGTTTTCTACAAGATGTCTATTAGGATGGTTACGATTTTTCCTAACGCATCTTTCATAAATTTCTAAAGTGGCTTTTTCTCTCCGCAACCCGAGGGGTTTCCACATTTGTATGGATTTCACATGCAGCAGTTGGTGTAGACTGCATAGCTCCGCAGATTAATCGGAGGGCATTATTTTTGTACTCTGTCAAGAGTCTCTAGGTTAGTTTTGGAACAAGTTGTAAGCAGTGAGTTGTTGTACTCTATCACAGAGCGAACATATCCTAGGTATAAGCCCCTCAGAGTTTCCTTGTCTGATCCCCATGATGTACCTGCAAGTCTCTTTAATAACTGTAACCGCCTCAATGCCTTATTCCTGATGTTTTCAATATGGTTCTTGAGGCTGAGCTGCGGGTCAAGTGTGACTCCAAGGTATGTGGGATGCTCTTCTTTCATCACTTGGTGTTTGTCTAACCTCAGGTTAATATTCTTCCTTGCTACTTGGTGGCTTTTGGTAAAGATTGTGTAGACCGTCTATGCACAGTTAATCTTGAGTTTCCATCTTTGGCAGTAATCATGCAGTCTTCTAAGGTCTCCATTCAGTCTTTGGGCTCCACTTTCCACACATTTTCATGACTCTGCCATATTGCTAGGTCATCAGCGTACAAGGCTTTTTTCGCCTTGATTTGTTCTGGCAGGTCATTGATAAAGATTAGGAATAGTGTACAGCTCAATGATGAGCCTTGTGGCAAGCCCTCCTCCAAGACTTCTTTAGAAGAGATTGCGTTGTGCATCTTAGTCTATCTATCAGGAAGTATTTCACCCAGTTATACAATCTGCCATGTATTCCTATGCTCATCATCTTCATCAGGAGACCTTTTCTCCATACTCTGTCATAGGCCTGCTGGAGGTCGACAAAGACTGCCACTGTGTGTTTCCTAGTTACTTTAACTCCTTAGCTTGTTTTAATGTCTCCCCTTCAACACTGAAGACATGTTGAACTGGTTTTCCTATTTACCGTTTTTATTTCCGTTTTTCCCCTCTTTTTTTTCAAAGCTCGAGATGTGCCAAAGCTAATCAAGTAATGGGGCAACTATCTCCTCTGTTAACACACAAGCAGATACCCCGGAGTACTAAAGTGAATCTTATCAGAACTATTTTTTGTCCAACACTATGCTATCAGTGCCAAACGTGGACACTTACATCCTCTAATGAACGTAAAATTGTGACAACAGAGTTGAAATGCCTTAGACGAGCTGCAGGAGTTTCAAGGACAGTAAAAGTAAAGTAAAGGACCCTTTTCCTCGCCATCAGGCGTATAGGGCATATAGGGCTAGACCTATATTTTTATAGACCAATCGGCACAAGATGGGTGATGTGGTCAGCATCACGCCGGCCGGCCGCCTCTACTTCCCGGGACCGCACCCGGTACCCACTCAAGACTGGGTCGACCTGGGAGCCAAGGTCATTTTTGAAAATAGTCTGGCTCTGCCAGGGAGCGAACCCACGACCTTCAGATCCGCGGCGAGAGTCTAGCCGCTCGGCCACTTTCAAGGACAGACAGAATATGAAATCAGACGAATGCTAGGAATAAAACCAGTCTCACAAGTCATCAAAGAACAACAAATGAAGTGGTCTGGACACCTAACAAGAATGCACTACTACTTTCTGCCACAGCGAGCCACACTGAAACGTTACAACGGGTATAGAGGGAGTGGAAGACCTCAGAAAATATGGAGTGATGGCATTAATGATGGCCTTATAGAAATAAACATCAGCCTTAATAGTGCTCTTGACAAAGCTCATCAACGAATGTGACATCTCCCCCCCACCCCCCCCCCCCCCCCCACACTTCACTGAGGTACAAGGTGAAAGAGAAGAAGAAGAAGAAGAAGGAAAAGTTTATTTCATATCAGACTTCTTGTAGAACTGAACTGAACTGAATTTCTACCCTACCAGGACATCACACAAGGGATAAACACTCGATGACACAATGTGCCACCACGTGGATGAGGATGGTCGTGGAGAGGTCCCAGAAACCGCGTTCAGACATTTGGCCATATTTATGGCCTGCCTATATTGCGGCCCCTGGCAAAAGCCAGAGTAGGGCTTCAAATGACAAAAAATGTCGTCCTAAAAAGGACGACACTGGATATGCAATAAGTAATAGTAACTTCTTGTAGCGGTGTTTATGCTGTTTACAAGGTGTTGGAAGCTATAACCATCTCTGTATAATAAAGGATTGTTGTAAAAAATACATAATTTTTATCAAAACGTTCTGGGATTGTTGACAGGTAAATAATGGAGGAAGGAGGTGACTGTACCTGGATTATTGGCGTGAAATCTGACAATTGTATAGCCTCCATCAGGGATAGTAACTGAGTCTTTGAGAGGTGGTTTGTCTGAGTTGCGAGTGATCTCCCCTCGTTCATCCATTTCCTCAACTTCATGGGCATATAGAGAAGCAGCAAGCTGGAAAAGGAACAATCATGTCAGTATGCCATACACAGATCAAATATAAGCAAAACAATGAAGTTCATCTCTATGGCGGAGCTGGCAACACATGTTTGGTGTTTTAATATTCAGGGTTTGTTCTCAACATTCCCCAAATGGGTTCCACTGCTGCATTGTGTGGACAACAAAAATAGATCCACTACCTACCAAAAAAAAAAACATGTTGAAGGAATCAACTAATTGGTAGCTTTCTTCGAAGTCAGAATGCATCTGTCCAAGCAAGGAACAACCAACTGCACACAAATAAGCCAGTAAAATGGATGCACATGCATAACTTAGGCCCTAGCACAAAGCCAAAGTCTAATTGGACGAAGAGCCAGGACTTTCGTCTGGAGCTTACAGCTGGTGAACAAAGAAGATGAAGATCCTCAATGTAAAGCAACAGTATTCAAGACTGAGAGGAAACTACTAGCATGACAACTTTTCATTTGCTACTGAAAAAAATGAGGATAGAGCAAAAGTGGGAATGTTCCAAGAGCAGTGATGTAAATTCTTGATTCATTTATCTAGCCACAAATCTAGCCACTCCAGCGACAGAGTCCACAAGTCTCTTGAAAATTGCTTTTTTTTTTTCGCTTTGGGCATGTTAACACCTAGAAGACTGAACTGCCAACATGGTTTCATCTAAAATCCTAGGGGATTGAACTGCCCACAGAGTTTTATCTAAAACCCTCCAGTCACAGCCCCTGGCATTCCCCGATGATATTTATTCTCCAGTCCCTCGTGCCTCGCCAGTCCACTGGCAAGACATCTCCCTGGCTACTTCGAGATACCAAGCTAGGTGATTTTGTGTTTTGATTTATGTATGTGCTGATGAAGGCTCCATAGCCACAAAATTCTCATTTTTATTTGTGTTTGTTATATTGTGAAGCTTCCTGCTCTGCATTTATGGAAGCCTCCAGCACACTGAATTGTAGCTGGCTTGCTGAAGTTAGTGAAATATTTTTTCATTTAACAAGTTTAACCTAAAAATTACTGACTCACAAAGTGTGCTGAGAAAGGTGGAGACAGGTATGTTTCGTGTACTGTGGCAAGCATCGCTTCAAAGATCATGGGGTAATTATCATCCTTTGGATATTTTGTCCAGGTCATGCTGGAGTGTTAGGAAATAAACAGACAGATACACTGGCTGGTTCTGCACCACATGGTGGTTAATTCTTCTTTTTCTTCTTCGTGTTCAAAACTTGTAAACTCCAGTGGAAATTTTTGGTTGTTCATCCACTTTTAGACTCCAGTCCTGTTCCAGAAACTGAATTTTTTGTATACATCCATTTCACAGGTCTGACTCATCTGCAAGTAGACTGTTGGTTCCTTGCCTCTCAGGCTGATGTAGTCCGACTTCGAAGGAAGCTACCAATTAGTTGACCCTTACGACATGGTTTTGGACAGGCAGTGGACTATTCTTGTTTTTCCCACAACGGGGCTCAGGAACCCACAACAGGGCTCAGGAACCCACAACGGGGCTCAGGAACCCACAACAGGGCTCAGGAATCCACAACAGGGCTCAGGAACCCACAACAGGGCTCAGGAACCCACAACAGGGCTCAGGAACCAACAACGGGGCTCAGGAACCCACAACAGGGCTCAGGAACCCACAACGGGGCTCAGGAACCCACAACGGGGCTCAGGAACCAACAACGGGGCTAAGGAACCCACAACGGGGCTCAGAAACCCACAACGGGGCTCAGGAACCCGCATGGGGAGTTGGTGAATTGAGGCATGGCAAGCTAGATGTTCTAAGGTCTCTTTAGGATTGGGTAAACAATGCACGGATGCACAAAGAGATCATCATGGTCTGAGGAGAATGATGCTGCGAGAAGTGAGCAGGGGATCTGGCCGATGCTCAACACTCACGGGAAGAAGTGAGATAGATATACAATCAGACTGTTACTGGTGCCATCGGAACTAGAACCCAGTGCTTGCTACTAAACATGAGGACTCAGTGCTTGTGGGAACATCCTGAGTGTTATTAACTCATAACCTAAAATATATATATTTATAATTAAAGGTACAATAAAGCCAATCAAGTCTTAGGCCACATGACACCAGTTTTGAAATGCAAACATGTGAATATAAACACCAAAAGAACACTGTTCAAAACAATATTCTCACCAATGCTGTGCTATAAGTGTCAAATACGGACACTGACTTCAGAAGGCAGAAGGAAAATAGCCACCGCAGAAATGAAATGTTTATGTAGCACATTAGGTGTAATGAGGAAAGATTGACTTAGGAATGATGATATCACGAGGAGAGTCAGCACAGAACCAATACTTGGTAATCTTAGCTTCAGCTTCATAGCAAACGAGTTACCCCATAGTTGCTCCACTCCTGTGCCAACGAAAAACACACAGAATGTTCGTCGCAGTTCCTTGTGGAAAGATTGACAGACTGTCTCAGCATATGCACTAGCATACACACGCATTAAAAGCATACGGTAGCCATAAGAAGTGTTAACACAAACAGTTTGACTTTAGAAATGCAGTTTATCATCGACGGTAGCAGAAGTCGCCAACAGATCAGCAGTTGCGCACGCGATCAATATTAATCGCATAAGGGCACCACTAATATTGCAGTGACAGACCACGTGCCATTTTCTGAATCTACAGTTCACAACACCACGCTGGTCACAGTCGAAAAACATTCCAAATGATATCCGCAGCTCACAGGGTCGCGCCATGCACTCAACTCAGTAGCTGGCGGGACAAAACAGAACCAACACTGAACTTTATAGGTGGACAACAAATCAAATGGTTTGGCCATGTAACTTGATTGGCATCAGACAGGGCACCACACAGAGCAATGTTATATGGATGCAATGGTAACAGAGCCAGAGGTCGACCACGCAGAATAGGGACCGCTGAAATGTCAAAGGCACTGAAAAGTACTTTATGCAAAGTGAAAAGAACCGCCCATTCAAAATATCGCTTCCTGCCCTGATGCCGCAAGACATTCCAGGAGTACAGAAAAGAAGAAGAAGAAAAAGAAGAACATATATATATAGGACTAACCCGGTCCATAGCCAGAACCCTGAAGCCGTGTCCATGCAGGTGAGTTGGGTGGCTGGCATTCCAGATATGGCCCTGGTCTATCATTATCAGCTCTACCACGTCCCCAAGCTTGACTTTATAGTGGTGTATGCACTCGCAGAAATCCGTGCTGCAGTTCTTCTTCAACGTCTCACTGTTGCAGAACATCTCCTGGAGACAAGACTTTGTATGTGACTACAGAGAAACACTTTATGAATAGTAATAGTCACAACGACAGAAATAACAACAAATGATGATAGTGATAATGAAGATGAAAATGACATCAATGATGAAAAGATGATGATTAAAATGATGATGATGAATATGATATTTATCTTCTTCTTGTTCTACTTCTTGTTTACCAGCTGTAAACTCTGGTGGAAAGTTCGGGTTGTTCATCCACCTCTGGACTTTAGACTTGTTCACTTGTGCACAATGGTTTTATAGACCCGACTTACTGGTTCCTTGCCTCTCAGGCAGATGCACTCTGACTTCGAAGGAAACCCCTCAGTTGGTCGAATCTTACGACATGCTTGCTGGGGAGACAGGGGGTCTATTCTTTGTTTCCCCCACAATGGGGCCCCAGAACCCTCATAGGGGGATGATATTGGTGCGATTTTCACACGCTTTCTACCCATTCAGAACGCATACTGCCAACAAAAAGAAGACAATGACCTGGGGGGTGGGGGCATAGGAAGGTGATTTTTTTATAATTACAAAAAAAGCAACAACAAAAAAGAAGAAGAAAATTACAGAGAAGGAGAAGTAGAAGAAAGAGAAGAAGAAGGAAAGAAAAAAAAAAAGAAGAACAAGAAGAAGAAGAAGAAGAAAAAGAAGAAGGAGAAGCAGAAGAAAGAGAAGAAGAAGGAAAGAAAAAGAAGAACAAGAACAAGAAGAAGAAAAAGAAGAAGAAGAACAAGAAGAAGAAGAAGAAGAAGAAGAAGAAGAAGAAGAAGAAGAAGAAGAAGAAGAAAAAGAAGAAGAAAAAGAAGAAGAAGAACAAGAAGAAGAAGCAGAAGAAGAAGAAAAAGAAGAAGAAGGAGAAGAAGAAATACCTGAGGTATGTCTTGTAACTGAGATAGGGGTGGCGCTGGAGGCATGACGTTGGTGATACCATTCATCTGTGTCGTCTGCAACTGTCTATTGCCAATAACAAACTGAAACAAACAAACAACTGGAGAGTCAGCAGAAACACCCAGTCAATACAAGGAAATACAAGAATAATGTCGGTCACTCAAACTGGAGCCGTCGTGGTGTAGCGGCTAGATGCTCACGTGCAGATCGGAAGGTTGTAGATTCGCTTCCTGGCGGAGCCAGACTGTTTTCAAAAATGACCTTGACTCCCAGGTAACCCAGCCTTGAATGGGTACCGGGTGCAGTCCGGGGAAGTGAAGGCAGCTGATTGGTCTTTAAAAAATATAGGTCTAGCCCTATATGCCCTATATGCCTAAAGGTGTGGAAAAGGGACCTTTACTTTACTCAAGTGGGGAAGCACCATTGTTCAGGTCTTGTAGAATCATGTGGACATATGGTGTTAGCCCCAGAGTTTTACAGGCCAAGCACTGACACTTCATGGACGATGCGGTCAGTATCACAGCAGCCATCTTAACTTCCCCCAACCAAATGACTAGCTGACCTAGGAGCCCTGACTGATATAGGAGCTCTGACTGATCTAGGGCCCTGACTGATCTAGGAGCTGTGATTGATCTAAGGCCCTGATTAACCTAGGAGCTCTGATTGGTCTAGGGGCCCTGATTGATCTATGGGGCCTGGATTGTTCTAGGAGCACTGATTGATCTAGGGGCCCTGACTGATCTAGGGGCCCTGATTGTTATAGGAGCACTGATTGATCTAGGTGCCCTGACTGATCTAGGGGCCATGATTGATCTAGGGGCCCTGATTGTTATAGGAGCACTGATTGATCTAGGTGCCCTGACTGATCTAGGGGCCATGATTGATCTAGGGGCCCTGATTGTTATAGGAGCACTGATTGATCTACGTGCCCTGACTGATCTAGGGGCCATGATTGATCTAGGGGCCCTGATTGTTATAGGAGCACTGATTGATCTAGGGGCCCTGATTGATCTAGGGGCCCTGATCGATCTATAGGGCCTGGATTGTTCTAGGGGTACTGATTGATCTTGGGGCCCTGACTGATCTAGAGGCCCTGAATGATCTAGGTGCCCTGACTGATCTAGGGGCCCTGATTGACCTAGGAGCCCTGGATGACATCAGAGACCATTAAAGGACCCCCTGTATTTAAAAATTCTAACTGCAGTCATCAGCTCATCGCCCCACACTCCAGCATGACCTCAACCATAATTGCATTTCTTCTTCTTCTTCCCGTTCACCAGCTGTAAACTCTGGCAAATAGTTCTGGTTTTTCATACACTTCTGCACTGCAGTCGTGTTCCAGAGCTTGTGTTGTGTGTGCATCTATTTTACAGACCTGACTCGTTTGTATGCAGACTGCTGGTTCCTTGCCTCTCAGGCAGATGCACTCTTACTTTGAGGAAAGCACCCAATTAGTCGAGTCTTATGACATGCTTTTGGGTAGGCACTGGTTCTATTCTTGTTTTCCCTATACATAACAGGGCCCCGGAACCCACACAGAGGCTAACTGCATTTGGAACTTTTAAGCAATAAAGTCCAAGAATAAGACACAAGGAATGCTCTGGGGAATGGAGAACCTGCCAGTTGGTTCAGTTCAGCAAGGATGACTGACAACTTCATCTTCACCCTTGAGTTTTTAAACTTAAAGCTTCCATTCTGTTCAGAACTGTTAGTATATACGGTGCTTTATTAATACCCTACCCCAAACAGGAGAAATTCACAGGTCACTGGACAGTCTTGTATTCCAGGGATGGTAGATAGGCTGCATGCAGACGTGGGACCTAGGCAGCATGCAGTCGTGGGACCTAGGCTGCACTATCTCGTGGGACATAGGTGGGTTGGGGTTAGTGCCAGTTCTAGATGTTTTGGGGTCGTTAAAAGTATCAGAAAGCCGGGAAACCCAGTCTTACACCGCTCTAAAATGTTGGACTGTCATGAAACGCCATCTGGAGTAGGACATTAATAAAGCACCGTACATACAACTGCGTTGTTCCCATATGGGTTCTGGGACCCAGTTGTGGAGAAAACAAGAATAGACCCACTGCCTCCCCAACAAGCATGTCATAGGAGTTGACGAATTCAGAGTGTATCTGCTTAAGAGGCAAGGAACCAATGATTTGCCTACGAATATGTCAGATCTGTAAAATGGATGTGCATACAACATTCAGATTCTGGAACAAGGTTAAAGTCCACAAAAGAAGGAGGCAAAAAATATAAAAGGCAGGAAGATAGATACTTGGAGAGACAGAAGGTTAAATAAATGGAAGAGAGACAGAAAGTTAAAGAGAGAGGAAGAGAAACAGAGAAAAATGGATGGAGAGAGAGAGAAACACAAAGTGACAGTCAGAAGAGACAAATGGAAGAAACAGAGAGAAACAAAGAGGTAGGTAGGTAGGTAGGTAGGTAGGTAGGTAGGTAGGTAGGTAGGTAGGTAGGTCGGTAGGTAGGTAGGTAGTTGTACCACACCAGGACATCACACAAGCAATAAACACCAGGTGACACAAAGTGCCACCATGCGGATGAGGATCACCCGTGGAGAGGTCCTAGAAACCGCGTTCAGCCATTCTTCTTCTTCTGCCTTTCTATCCCCCAATGGAGCATAGGTCCTCAACCAACTCACGCCAAGTCGTTCTATCCTTCGCCATTGCATGGAGCTCTCCCCATGTCCTCCCAATCTTGCTTCTCTTTTTGACTTATCCATGGTTGGTTGGTTTTTGGTTTTTGTGGCTATGGTTTTTACGTTCAGCCATTAGGCCATATTTATAGCCCGGCTATATTTAAGACCCCTAGCTAAGGCCAGGGTGAGGCTTTAAATAACGAAAATCGACTTTTGACAGTTGATAAGAGAGAAACAAAGAGAGAAAGAGAGAGAGAGTTAGTAGGAGAGGGGTTGAGAAAGGGAGAGACAAGCAAGGAAAACATAGGCAATAAAACATCAGGAAACAAACAAATAACCCCCAGAAAAACAAATATATTATGAATAATAAAACTACGACATAGTTTCTTACATCCCGAGTTGAATAGTATAACTTGTTGTGAAATCTGGGGTTGTCAATGGCAACAAAATCCATGGCAACAACGATCTTCCGGTCTGGCTTTTCTGGTCACGGCGTCGTCGTCTGGCAACAAGGACCGTAGACTAGCCACAGATTTCTGGGTCTCAGTCTCCCTGGAATTGATCAGGTTCAGAACCTGGAAAATCAAAAGTGCAGAAGGTTTGTCATCATCACCTACTTGCACAGTCTGTACAATCACCAGCTTTAACTACCACTGTACATTCAACACGCTCGCCGCGGATCGGAAGGTCGTGGGTTCGGTCCCTGGCGGAGCCAGACTTTTTTCAAAAATGACCTTGGCTCTCAGGTCAACCAAGCCTTGAGTGGGTACCGGGTGCAGTCCGGGGAAGTAAAGGCGACCGGCGTGATGCTGACCACATCACCCATCTTGTGCCGATTGGTCTATAAAAATATAGGTTTAGCCTTATATGCCATATAGGCCTAATGGCGTGGAGAAAGGTCCTGTACTGTACTAAAGGTAAAGGTAAAGTCGGTAGATGTGAACCAGCGTCATTGCACACGGTTATAAACCATACGTGCTCTGCCACCAGTACGGACAGCTGATAAGAATTGTCCGCCTGTGTCGCCGTTCGCACGTAACTCTGTAGCTACAGCGACGTTTCTCCATTTACCCCAGCGTGTCTACTCTGGTACCCATTTCCCAGCGGCTAGGTGAACTCCGGGAACCGCCCGGTTTCGAACACCGACCGTGGTTGCAGCGAGTCGCAGCTGGATTTGAAAGCGAGCCTCTTATCGACTGCGCTAACGCACCCCACCCCCCCCCCCCGATTATACTGTACTGTACATTCAACGTCTCTCTACTCTAGTGTGTGATCTTTAACCTGGAAGGTGCGCCCATCTGGGTGGGGGATGAGGCAGTTTCAAAAAAAAAGGGGGGGGGGTGTTCAAGCATTTTTGAAAGTGCGTACATTTTTACTTGTAACAATTTTGTTTTCAGTTTTGTGTTTATTCAACGGATCAAGATCAAGGCACACGGGTGTAACCCATAAGTGCTAAGTTCTTCTTCTAACTCAAGCCTGGGCCTGAAGAATCTCAGCGCAGTGCACAAACTCTGTTGCACCGGCGAGGATCCTGAAATACTTTGGGTAGATTTTTAACTCCAAATTTTGTCCGGGCAGCGCCTTCAGCTTTAAAAATCATGAAAACAAAACAGCGCTGCTAGCTTGATGTGGAGAGCGTTTCTGTTGTGGCTTGCTCAACATCAGACGAATAATAGTTGATACCATCAAGACAAAACGGTGTCCACAGATTTATTAATTGGCCCGGCACAGCGACCGGGTGATTAACTCCAAGTGGTCCTTGAGTTCCCGCTCGAGGGTAGGCAGAAAAGCCACATATTTCCCAGATTTACGGTACCTATCATAGAATCAAGGAAGAAGGATCGCGATATCCTTAGTGCCGAGACAAAAGGTTTACAACTCATGGTTTCTGGATCAATTAGTTAAAAAAAATTATGTACTTACATTATTTCCTGCTACTTATTTAGTTATGGTCTACTGATGAAAATCCACTAAGAACGTCAACAAAATATTACGAGCGCCAACGTCTGCTTCAGGTCAGACAAAAATAAAACTAATGAATTATGTCAACTCACCGGCCCAGTCAAAGATGGGGCAGGCGATATAAAGGTGTCGTTATTCTCCTGTCCCTCAAGGGCCCCTTCGTAGTGCAAGACCGCAGTTTGGTGGGCATTCTTGAATTGTTTCCCACAATCGAGTTGTCCTTGAACTCTAAGCAGGTAGTTGGCAACGCTCTGATTGGCTGTCAGCACAAAATCATACCTGAGGAAGATTTTAATGTGAGCCTGGTCAAAGTAGAGGCAAATTTACGTTACCCTGTCCATTGGCAGAAGATTGAAAGCTGCAGGAAGTCGTGACTTTACATATAGGGTGACCCACAGCCTCCTGCAGCTTTTAATAAACCAACTAGGTCAACGGAAATTCCCGCCCCCCCTCCCCAGAAATTCCGAGAGGCCGGTCTGTGTTCACTTTTTTCCTGGAGTGTTATAGTAACACTGTCCGGCCTAGAAAGAAACTGACTTCTCTTGCCATTTATGCCTCCTCATGACGCAGGGCCTGTCCTATATTGTGGGTGTTGCTGTCAGCTGCCGGCGATATCCTGCGTTCTATATCCCTTGATGTGAGCGCTTTTAACGGTCCCAAAACATAAAACTGGCCCTAACCCAAACCCCCCTATTCGACACCCTCAGCCTACATCCTACGACTGCATGCAGGCTAGGTCGCACGACTAAACGCAGTATATTAAAAACATTTAAAAAAAAACTTTTGTCAACGCCTGTCCCAATCAAAATGTCACAAACATCATTTATTAACTCTTGCATCGTTTAACTATGCAATCTTATGTTCAGTAGTTTAGCACAGGTTTTTTTTTTGTTGGGGGATTGGGGGGGGGGGGGAAGGGGACGCGCGTAAGGGGGTGTTTCGCCTAACCTTCGACTGTCCACAATTTACCTACAAGGCAGCGTGTTGTCTGGTTCCTCTTCCTTGACCTGGCCGTCATGGGAAACCCTACCTGTAGCTGAACTAACGTGTCGACATCGACATCGCTCTTGGGATCACTGGAACACATCAACCCCTCTACAACTTCAAGTTGGGGCATATCACATGCTCTTCTTCTGATACTGACAAACAGTTCTGCTTCCTCATCATCAGATGCCTTGCCGACTGGCGTGGGCCATCATGCCTCTCCACAATCTGCGATCTCCTGCAGCATGTATCAGTTCGTGTGCCGACACACCTACATGCCATGCAACAAGACTGTCGAGAATCTTCTCTCGTTGTCTTCCTCTATCCCTCCTTCCACAGATCTTTCCAGTGGTCACAACATGTTCCATTTTCCCTCTTCTCATAACATGGTCACAAAATGACGACTGTCTCCTTCTGATGTCTGTGATAAGTTGTCTTCGGGCTTCCGTCTCTTTTAAAATCTCCTGGTTGCTATTTTTGGCTGTCCAAGGTATTCTAAGTATTCTTCTGTAAAACCACATCTCTGAGGCCTCAAGAAATTGTCTGGCCTGCCTACCGATTGTCCAGGACTCACAGCCATATGTTAACACTGGATGTATGTAGCAAGCAAGAATTCTTTTTCTTACCCTCAATGACAAAGATATATTGCACAAGATGTTCTTTATTTTATAAAATACAGTCTTTGCCTGACCTATTCCAGTTCTGTTTAAGAGTGGATTTATCTGACACAGAAGGCAAATCTACAGGCGTACAAAATATTTACCTCTCGCCAGCAAAGATGTTGAAGGACTCCACCTCCAGGGGGGCCACAGCGGCCCCATCAGAAGCGATGATCTCCAGCAAGTGCCCATCCACAGAAACGGTCAACGGACAGTTGAGGATTCCGTTACTGACCACCCTGAAGCGATACCGGTATCCTTCCTTCACCGTGAAGACTTCCCTCGGGGTGTGGCTGCTCTGTCCAGTTTTAGAATCATTGACAAAAACGATCATGCCCTTCCCTGAAAGAAAACAGTTAACTAATACAGACAGTCATTAATATATATATATATATGAGATGAAATGCCTTAGAAGAGCTGCAGGAGTTTCAAGAAAAGACAGAATACGAAATCACGAATGCCAAGAATAAAGCCAGTCTTATAAGTCATCAAAGAACAACAAGTGCTTGGGCTTTCTTAGCAAAAGTTATTGGTCGACGTTTGGTGCAGGAGACCCTGGCATATGATACCACAACAGTCAGCTTAAGAATGGAGGTGAAGGCGGTCACTGCAGCTTTCCGCTGACTAGATAACACGACACACACACACACACACACACACACACACACACACACACACACGTTGCGATTGTAACTGACTCAGAAAGCATGCTGAGGAAGATCAGACAGGTATGCTTCGTGCAGAGTGGCATGCCTCGCTGCGGAAGACACGGGTGGGGAGTGTTGTCTTAATTTTTTCACCAGGTAATGTCGGTGTGCTGGGAAATGAACAGGCGGACTGACTGGCTGGCTCTGCACAGCTTGGTGGAATACTTATGCATGATAAAGCAGACGTGGTTAGTGCATTGTGGGAGAGCCTGTACAGTTCGGAAGAGCAGATTGATCACCATAGTGTGGTGAGATTGATGCAGTTGGGAGTGACGGGAGGTTCTGGCAGATGCTCGAGGCTCAGAGGAAAGGCAAGACGGGCGTTTAATCAGAATGCTACTGGCACCATTAGTATCGGAACTCTTCGCTGGCTGCTGAAGATGGGGACGGAGCACTTATAGGAATGCCCCGAGTGCTGTGATGTCGGTTCTTGAGTCAAATCAAAGAACAACAAATGAATTGGTTTAGACACCTAACAAGAATGCCCTGGTACTATCTGCCACAGCGAGCCACATTAAAGCGTTACAACGGGTATAGAGCGAGTGGAAGAACTCGGAAAACATGGAGTGATGGCATTAAGAACAATCTTACAGAAATTAACATCAATCTTAATAGTGTTTTTGACAGAGCTCATCGACGAATGTGACATCTCCCCACGACACTTCACTGAGGTGCAAGGTGAGAGAGAAGAAAAAGATATATATATATATATGTTTGGAGATATATATATGTAAGCCACAAATATTTATTTTCATAAAATGAAAAATATCATCACCATTACCATCAACTTCAACTTCTGCGTTGTGGGGAAGAACAGTTTGCGATCCATTGCTTGTCTGGCAGCAATGGCTACTGTCATTCCGTGTTGATGTAGAAGCTCTATAATGTCATCAATCCATATTCTCCTTGGCCGGCCTCATGCTTTCACTTCAGATCCTTTCATGTGTAGCACCTGCATTTGTAGTTGCTCTGGTTGCTTTCTTACTAGATGACCAAACCATTTGATCTTCTGTTTCTCAATGAATTTGCTGCATGGTTTTGTTCCTACAGTCTGTACGATATAATTTCAAACTTTGTCTCGGATGATTCAGTTTGGCAGCTTTTCTCAGGCATTTCGTTTCACAAGTGTTTCACGTAGGTTAGCCTTTGATAACGTCCAAGTCTGGAACTAGTAGCACAGTGTTGGTATGAATATGTTGTTTATAATCTGTGTCTTGGCGCTCATACTTATGTGTGGATGTCTTAATAACGGTGTTAGTTGGTATATAAGTGCACTGGCTCATTGACATCTTCTTTCTGTTTCTTGATCAATTCTCCCATCCTCCGAGGGGGCTTCCTTTGAAGTCGGAGTGCATCTGCCTGAGAGGCAAGGAACCAGCAATCTGCATACAAATAAGTCAGATCTGTAAAACAGATGCACACACAAAACTCAGGTCCTGGAACAAAGCCAAAGTCAATAAATGGACAAACAACCAGCTCTTTCCACTAGGGTTTATAGCCGGTGAACGCAAACAACAAACAAACAACATTTAGAAGTTTAACTTGCTTCAGATACGTATCGTTCAACTTTATATGTAGCGGACTAGGAATTCCGCTGACCTGTATTACTTCAGTAATTTCTTCTTCTGCGTTCGATATCAGTCATGCTAAACATTGAGTCCAGTCTGGGTCACAAATAGGATTGTGCGTTTAAGGTCGCCACCGGTCCCCCATAGCTTCTCTTGCAATGTGGCTTCTTTGGGCCAGATCCACAGTCTTTGCTGGGAGAGGTAAGGGCAGTACTGCAGTATGTGTTCAGGGGTTTGTCTTTCTGCTCCACAATCACAGGCAGCAGATTCTTTTATGCCTATCCTGTACAAGTGTGCTCGAAGACCACAGTGTCCAGTCCGAAGTCTAAGAATTGATGTTTGTTCTTTCCTGTTGAGTTTTACTTAAGTAATGAAAAATACATTATGCAACAATAACTGCATGTGAAGATGTAGACAGAAATCTATGGCAAAGAGTACCATTAAAAAAAAATACAAGTATAGGTCTGTTCTTAACGGTAGAAATGATTTATGATGATGATGGTGGCTGTGAATTAATAACCAGATCAACAACTGAGCTTAGAGAGAGAGAGAGAGAGAGAGAGAGAGAGAGAGAGAGAAGAGAGAGAGAGAGAGGGAGAGAGAGAGAGGGAGAGAGAGAGAGAGAGAGAGGGGGAGACTCCTTATTCAGACACACACACACACATACATACACTGCCAGAAAATCGACATATTCATATAAAGGCCTTCATGCTTTCACACACCCGAATCAAACACCATTTGTCATACATGTTTACACCCACATCCCATACACAACATAATTCAACACACACATATATTCTCAAGTCAACTCAAACACGCAAACACACTCACCATTGATAAGTATAGAACTGGGTTTGTTGTCCCCGTTGCTATGGTGATGTTTGGAGAAGCTGGGGTCGGCGCTGATATGCCACCAGTCGTTGACCAGAATTTCGTGCTCTGGAAGGTCAAAATCATAAAACCCGTTATGGAGCTCTCGGCTCGGTGCCTGACGAACTACCAGGTGTCCGAACAAACCATCCGCTCGCTGTAATCCTGCGTGTCCATGCCAGAATTGTGTACCCACTGTTGTGGCATTGAACCTGGACAACATAAGAAACAAACAGGAGTATGTATAACCAGTAAACACTCTCAAAGAAGCATCTTCTTTTTCCTTACTCTTCGCCAGCTGTAAACTAGGGTGGCAAGTTTTGGCTGTTTGTCGACTTCTAGACTTTGGTCTTGGTTCTAAAATTTGACCTTTTTTTTTCATCCTCATCCCTTTTACAGATCTGGTTTATTTGGGTGCAGACTATTGGTTTCTCCTATCAGATGGATACCGGCTTCGATGGAAACACTTCTTATTAGTCAACTTTTACACCATGCTTAATAAGGAAAAAAAAAAGGGGGGGGCGGGGGGAAACAGGTTGTCTGTTTGTCATGTCAATGTTCTAACCCTCCCTGAATTATGTTCTACTTACTGAATAATGTCGTATCTATATTCTAACCCTCCCTGAATTATGTTCTACTTACTGAATAATGTCGTATCTATATTCTAACCCTCCCTGAATTATGTTCTACTTACTGAATAATGTCGTCTCTATATTCTAACCCTCCCTGAATTATGTTCTACTTACTAAATAATGTCGTATCTATATTCTAACCCTACCTGAATTATGTTCTACATACTGAATAATGTTGTATCTATATTCTAACCCTCCCTGAATTATGTTCTACTTACTGAATAATGTTGTATCTATATTCTAACCCTCCCTGAATTATCTTTTACTTTTATGTTTCTTACGTTACTTAGGGAATTTTGTGTTTTTTGAAGCTACTCTGGCTTTTGCCAGGGCCGCAATATAGGCAGGTCATACATATGGCCAAATGTCTGAACGCGGTTTCTGGGACCTCTCCACGGTGATCCTCATCCGAATGGTGGCACTTTGTGTCATCCTATATTCTATCGCTTGTGTGATGTCCTGGTGGGGTTCAATATCCTATCTTTTACTTACTGAATAATGTTCTGTTATCTACTTGGACATGAACAATACTTTATCACTTATCAGTCTCTATGAAACCAAACTTCGATGCATTTTCCAATATGTGAACAGTGGTGACACGGATCTGAACTTACACGTAGGTGAAGGCCGTGTGGGTCGGTATCGGGCATTGTGTAACCATGGCAACACCGTCCATATATGGGCTGCCCTGCTGCAGAATGCCGTGCCAGTGTATGCTGGTGCCCTGCGACCCCTCCATCTTGTTGTGGACTCTCACACGTATGGTGTCGTTTTCACACACCTGTGAATTATACACATTTTAATAAATGTGATAATTAAATAGCATAAAAGATAACACAGAGGAAAATACTTGCTACACACAAGAGTTGAATGGAAGTAGGTCACGAAAGAGACCAAGAAGATGGTGGAGAGATAATATCCATGTAGAACTACACATATTTAGTGCCACTAATTGGAAAGAGAAGGCCAACCAGAGAGATGAATGAATTCAGGTGATATATGCGTTCTTTATTAATATCCTACCCCAGATGACGTCACAGGACAGTCCTAACATTTTAGAGGGTGGTAAGACTGGGTTTCCCGGCTTTTTGATGATTTTAACGACCCCAAAACATCTAGAACTGGCCATAACCCCAACCCACCAATGTTCCACGAGAGAGTGCAGCCTAGGTCCCACGACTGCATGCAGCTTATCTACCACCCCCTAAAATATTAGACTGTCCTGTGACCTGTGGATTTCCCTTGTTCGGGGTAGGATAATAATAAAGCACCGATATCTGCAGCAGGAGCCCCAACGACTTGGAATGCTGGAGAGGAAGAAAGAGAATAATAATAAGAATAAGGACACGGAGGATTATGATAATAATGGTGAATAATAAAAATAAGTGGTCACCCAAAAATAACAATAAATGATGAAGAAATTGAAAATGTCACAAACTTTGAATATCTAGGCCCTATAATAAACAACAATGGAGACTTCGACAGAAATTAAAAGGAGGATGGCCATAGCAATGCAAAAATTGAACAGCCTTAAGAGTCTATGGTTAAGCACCAGCAAGGAGATATGAAAATTAGAATTTTGAGAGCATGCATCTTCCCTGTGGCTACATACGGATGTGAGTCGTGGACTATCTCTCAATCCTTAAGAAAGAAATTAGGGGCTTTTGAGCTGAAATGCTATAGAAAGATTCTCAGAATATCTTGCACAAAGAAAATGAGAAATATTGACATCTTGAAAGATCTGAACATCAAGGAAGATTGGCTTATAAACAGCATTTATCTCGAAAGCTGAAATAATTTGGTCATATCAAGCGCCACGACGGATTGGAAAAAATTATAGCAGAAGGCATGGTACCAGGAAGGAGGGGCAGGGGCCGACCGACACGAAGATGGGCACATAATATAAATGACTCCTTGAGTGTGAAAGTGCATGAGGCGGGAGAACTGGCGAGAGACCAAGTTTCTTTCAGGCAGACTGTGATGAGAGCAACGTTCTGCAAAGGACCTGCTACATAATGATGATGACTAATAATAATAATAAAATAATAATAATAATAATAATAATAAAAATAATAAGTGAACTGGTGACATGCAACTCCCACTAGGACAGCCCAACGAGCGATACACACCCAGTGACATAAGTGCCACCATTCGGATGAGAATCACCCATACTAATGAAACAGTAACATCAATACAGTTCCTGCTGAAGACATAAAATAATTGCCAGTCAAGCACAAACATTATTGAAACTGACACCTTTGCAGGACAGGAGGAATAAAATTGTATTATATAATTATTAATGTAGAACACTGAGAGAGAATTTATGAAAATTCAAGCACATCAAGAGGTGGGGTCTCTCGGCATGTTCAGAGCTCCGTTTTTTACGTTTCCCTTGCCCAGGATGAGAGTGACTTTCTTTGCCATTAATAATCGCTGCGTCCTCTTTGTCACCGGCCAGCGATACGGTCGCAAAACAGACAGAACTGGCCCTACTCCCACCCCGAACTCCCGCTCCTAAGGGGGCCGTGTTAGCGCAGTCGATAAGAAGCTCGCTTTCAAATCCACCTGCGACTCGCTGCAGCCCACGGTCGGTGTTCGAAACCGGGCGGTTCCCGGGGTTCACCCAGCCTCTAGGAAAGGGGAACCAGAGTTGACACGTTGGGATAAATGGAGGAACGTCGCTGAAGCTACAGAGTAACGTGCGAACGGCGACACAGGCGGACAATTCTTATCAGCTGTCCGTACTGGTAGCAGAGCACTTATGGTTTATAAACGTGTGCAATGACGCTGGTTCACATCTCCCGAATTTACCTTTTTTTTACCTTTCACCGCCCCTATGTCCAACAAGAGAGTGCAGCTTTCGTCCCGTGACTGCATGCAGTCTATAATATACGCTGCATACAGTCATGCGACCAAGGATGCATGCAGTTGTGGGACGTAGGCTACACTCTTTCGCGGGACGTAGTCTGCACTCTCTCCTGCGACGTAAGGGAAGGGGGGGGGGGGGTTAGGACCAGTTCTGCATGTTTTGCGACTGTTGAAAGCGCTCACATCTTGGAATATACAACACGTGATTCCCCGTGTGGGTTCCGGGGCCCTATTATAGGGAAAAACAAGGACAGACCCACTGCCTACCCAAAAGCATGTCGTAAGAGTCGACTAATTGGGAGCTTCCTTCGAAGTCGGAGTGCATCTGCCTGAGAGGCAAGGGATCATCAGTCTTTATACAAATGAGACAGATCTGTCAAACGGATGCACACGCAAAACCCAGGTTCTGGAACAGGACTGCAGTCCAGAAGTGGATGAACAATCAGAACTTTCCACCAGAGTTTTCATCTGGTGAATGCGAGAAGAAGAAGACAACACTCGATATCACCGGCCGGTGACAACAATTAGTAAAATGCTGTGTGTTGGTAGCCTGTCACTAAGCGCGACACCCCGGAAACTGCGGACAAGCCCTGTGATACTGCGATTTATGAATGGCAAGGGATGTCACTCTAATCCTGGGTCGGGAAACGTAAAATGCACCGAAAACAGAATAGGCCCACTGCCCATACCTACGCTCAACAAGCATGTCGTAGGAGGCTTCAAATTAGGGATGCTGTCATCGAACTCGGAGTGCATCTACCTGAGAGGCTAGGAACTAACAGTCTGCATAGAAATTAGCCAGATCTGTAAAACGAATGTTCAAAACTGACGTTCTCGGCCAAGACAAAGGTCCGGGTACAGACGAACAATCAAAACATTCCGCAAGAATTTAATCCGGTGAACGCAAAGAAGAGGAAGAGGTGAGGAAAAGATGTTGGTATGGGATAAAACACACATTGTGAAAAAGTGTAATAATATAAATGGAATGTTTGTTCACTGGAACCACAGTGCAAAAGAGACAGAATATGGCTAGGATAAGGAGTGAAGTGCAGGAGATTGTAAACGAAAGGACATCGTGACATAATTTGCTTGAGTGCCTTTGTTTCAAGGGGGATAACGGACAGAAGTAGAAAAACATGCAGACGTGGCATCCTATTCTGTTGTCCTTGTCTGAACAGACTATGCAAACGATCCCCTATCCTAGAATATTATTAGTGCGACTAATAAACATATACATGACACAAAAAACATTAATCGAATATAAACTTGTAAATGAAACAGCAAATTCCATTGCCACCCGTCCAGGTCGGAAATGTTTAAATGCCGTTTCATTACTAAGGTTAGGAAGGATATGAAACTCCAATATGAACTCACGTGGATAGGAGGTCCTGGCAACATGCGGTTGGCAGTAATGATGCCCCTGAGGCCACCATCTGCAGGTACACAGTGGGGCCTGGAGCAGGAGCTAACGTTGTGAGGACAGCTGCAAGCACCATAAAAACTACTTGCCAGATATTCACAAATACAATTTAAAACATTTATGAGATAAAAACACTGTAGCAGGATATTTTACTATAGTAGATAATCGTAATAAAATTATTCGTAATAAAAAAAAGTTAATGAAGTAATGGATCAATTATCTCCCCTGTTGACACACAAGCAGATACCCGGGAGTACTAAAGTGAATCTTACCAGAACTATTTTTTGGCTTACACTATGCTATAAGTGCCAAATGTGGACACTTACATCCTCTAATGAACGTATAATTGTAACATAAAACAGAGATAAAATGGCTTAGAAGAGCTGTAGGAGTTTTGAGGAAAGACAGAATAAGAAATCACGAAATAAGACGAATACAATGAATGAGCCAGTCTTACAGGTCACCAAAGAACAACAAATGAAGTGGTTTGTACACCTGACAAAAATGCCCTCGTACTATCCGCCACAGCTGAAACGTTATAACAGGTATAGAGCGTGCAGAATACCTGGGAAATATGGAGTGATGGCATAAAGAACAAAAATGGACATTTATCTTGATAGTGCTCTTGACAGAGCTCATCAACGAATGTTTCATCTTCCCCCGACACTTCGCTGAGGCACACAGTGGAAGAGAAGAAGAAGAAGAAGAAGAAGAAGAAGAAGAAAAAGAAGAAGAAGAAGAAGAAGAAGAAGAAGAAGAAAGAAGAAAGAAGAAGAAGAAGAAGAAGAAGAAGAAGAAAGAAAAAAGAAGAAGAATCAGAAGAAGAAGAAAGAAGAAAGAAGAAGAAGAAGAAGAAGAAGAAGAAGAAGAAGAAGAAGAAGAAGAAGAAGAAGAAGAAGAAGAAGAAGAAGAAGAAGAAAGAGAAGAAGAAAGAAGAAGAAGAGAAGATAAGAAGAAGAAGAAGAAGAAGAAGAAGAAGAAGAAGAAGAAGAAGAAGAAGAAGAAGAAGAAGAAGAAGAAGAAGAAGAAGAAGAAGAAGAAGAAGAAGAAAAAGAAACAAGAAGGAGGAGGAGGAGGAGAAGAAGAAGAAGCTGAAGAAATAATCGTTAGTTAAAGTCACACAAATATCCCTCATTGTCCCGTTTGAAGATTAGTGAAAAACATGTCAGCCCCAGCAAAATTCTGAAGCTCACACACGCAAAGTAAATGTACAAGGCATGTCTAGATTTAAAATTCACATCGAGATATTCTTTATTTGCTTCAAATTTTACACTGGCTCCCACGTCGACACAGTCTAAAATGGGTCCAGAAATTGTCCTGGGAAGTAAAAGTGGTCTGAGTGCTGTTAATTACATCACTCATACAGTGATTATTGGTCTACAGTTTTCTATTATTTGTGAGATGCGCCTAATGGGTGCTTTTTTAATATCTTACCCCAAATACGGGAAATCACAGGTCATGGTACAGTCTAATATTTCAGGGGGTGGCAGATAGGCTGCAGGCAGTCGTGAGACCTAGGCTGCAGGCATTCGTGGGAGCTAGGCTGCACTCTCTCGTGGGACGCAGGTGGGTTGTGGTTAGGGCCAGTTCTAGATGTTTTGGGGTCGTTTAAAGCATCATAAAGCCGGGAAACCTAGTCTTAACGCCCTCCAAACTGTTGGACTGTCCTGTGACGTCTTCTGGGGGTATTATAATATTAAAGCACCGGAATTCGTTCAGGTAATTAATCGGAAATGATACCGCCAGTTCTGTGGAAACAAGCCACTCCCTAATTTATGAATCTGTAGTTCACAACACAAACCACGTTGGGCAAAGTCGAAAAGCATTCCGAATTAACTCAGCATCTCACAGTGTCGTGCCATGCACTCACCTCAGTAGCTAGGGACGGAACTATAATGTATTTCGTTCTACACTTAAAGAAATATGCAACCGCTAACATTGTCAGAAGCAAAATTTTGCCACGAAAAAAAAAAAAAAAAAAAAAAACAGCGAAACCGCCTATCCACCATATTGACCGGAAGTTAAAAGAAAGAAGCAAAGCTCAGTTCATTAGTGCACTTTTTAAAAAAAAAAGAGATACATGCAGACTGTCACAAGATCTATGCAACTCGTGCTTCTTGCGTGGCTCTCAACTAGCCACTGGCCGTTGTACGGAGAGGTTCCCCAGCGTGTGACACACAACACAAACACATGACAAACTATCAAGCACTCACTCCCAGCATGCCTTGGTCAGTGTGTAGTAGTACTCCACCAAAAAGTTGTAGTCACATATCATAGCCGGCGCGCCATCTTGGCACTGTCTGGTGCACGAGTGGTTCCTGTAATCTAATGCAGAACATTTGTGTTAGACTGAAAGTGTTTGAGTTCCATCTGCATACTACAGTGGCGAGGCATGATTAATTCGCATGTGTAAGTGTTAGTAGGTAACGATTACACTGTAGAGGGAGGGTATCACGTGATATATTCCTCCCCGTCGCCTGGCTATTGGGACAAAGCGTACGCAGCTAGCACAGTAGTACAGTAGTAGCTTTCACACTTTACAGTTTCCTAACGAGTGTGGTAAGCATGCAGTCGGCTTTTTTTCGCTATGTTAATTTGCAGTATATAGTATACACTCTTCTTCTTTCCTCTGCTCCTGAAATGCCTTGCGGTTTCAGGGCAGAAACAGATCTCTGGAACGGGCTCTTCTGTCTGCCTCCTTTATAATACTTTTCAGTTTCTGCGATATTTTCGCGGTCCATCCTCTGTATGGTTGATCATTGATCCCTTCCTCCTTCCATCAATCCATCCATCCCTCCCACCATCCATCTATCCTTCCTTCCATCCATCTATCCATCCATCCCTCCCTCTCTCCCTACTGCTGTGCTAAAGATGGTTGACTGGAAGGGCCGAATGTAAACAGGCCTGCGTGCCCAATTTGTGACCCTTTATAAAATAAAGTTCGTTCGTTCGTTCCCCCCATCCATCAATCCATTCATCGTTCCATTCACACATCTAACCAACCAACCAACCAACTACAAATACATCCATCCATCCATCCATCTATCCGACCAACCAAACATCCATCATCCGTGCATCCATCCGTCTATTCGCGCACTCATCCATCCAGTCAACCATCCATCCATCCACCCGTCTGCCTGTCTATCAACCCACGTACCTACACGTACTGTATCTATCTGTCTATGACCACACACATCTAAGACATACCTTGGATGTCATCGTAATTCATGTGATGAAGCAGCTTCGCTTCAACCGCGCTGTAACAACTCAGAACCACAATCACCATGCTGAAACACCATTTCACATCAGAGCGCATCTTTCGTTTGCTGCAGGAAAGCCAAGTCCCTGAGGAAAAGAAACGACGAATGCTGACACACATTTACAATTATGTAAGGTAATGTAAAGTAAAGGTAAAGATCCCTTTTCACGCCTTTTAGGCGTATCGGGCATATGGGAAGAGCACCCATATTTTTACAGACAAATCGGCACTAGGTGGATAATGTGGTCAGCATTACGCCGGCCGTCTTTACTTCCTCAAGACATACATCCTGGAACCATTTTAGGCTGGATCGACCTGCGATGATAATAATTCCACGCAGCCAGCTCTGAGTTTCGATCGCTGTACGTTGGAATAACGAGTCAGACTCGCAACGCCTAAGCCACGGGCACCGCTTATGTAAGGCAAAAAGGGGAGAACCAATAAAGGCTGGCTAATTGTAGTTACATTAGTACATAATTTTGGGTGATTTGTAAACACTACTGGACAATCAATCAACAAACACTACTGGACAATCAATCAACAAACACTACTGGACAATCAATCAACAATCCTCGATAGCAAGTAAACAGTTAATCAGGTAGTCGGCTGATCAGGTAATCAGCTAATCAGCTATCACAACGTCTAGTTTGAAAATGGAGGTGGCTGCAGTCTCTCCTGACTTCCGCTGGCTTCAGAATCAGCTGTACACACATGCCGTGATTGTAACTGGCTCACAGAGCATGTTGAGAAAGGTGAGGACAGGCTTGCTTTTGTGCAGAGTGGCAAGCATCACTTCAAAGGCCCGGGTAGTTAGCATCCTTTGGATATTTTATCCAGCTGATGCAGGTGTGTTGGGAAATAAGCAGGCCGATTGTTTGATTCGTTTGTTTGCTTGTTTTAGTATCCAGAAGCCATGAGTTGTTAACCCTTAGGCTAGGTATTATGGATATCGCAACCTTTCGGCCTTGATTCCATTGTAAATACCGTAAATCTGGGAGAAATGTGGCTTTCCTGCCTACCCCCGGGATTGAACCCGGACCACAAGGAGTTCGTCACCCGGTCACCACGCAATCCATTTTAGCCAACTACGCTAGAGAGCCGGGCGAGCAGGCAGATAGACTGGCTGACTCTGCCCCACTTAGTGGTGAACTGATGTATGGCAAGTTAGATATTGTCATGGACCTTTTAGACCGAGTGAACAGTGCGGAGGCGCAGATAGAGCCCAACGGTCTAAGAAAAATGCGAGGAGTTACCAGGGGATCTGGCCGACGCTCAACACTCAGGAGAAGGGTGAGACGGATATACAACTCTTCGCTTGCTGCTAAAGATAAAGACTAAGCACTTCACAGCAAACGGGCCATTTATTTGTTACTCCAGCAAAAACCGCCCAGCATGTAGATCACTGTTCCGAGTCTGAAGGTTCTGAAGTTTTGAACAACGGATCTCCCCGTGTGGGTTCCGGCGCCCTATTATAGGGAAAACAAGAATAGACCCAGTGCCTATCCAAAAGCATGTCGTAAGAGTCGACTAATTGGGAGTTTCTTTCAAAGTCGGGGTCCATCTGCCTGAGAGGCAAGGAACCAGCAGTCTGCATACAGATGAGTCAGATCTGTAAAACGGATGCACACGCAACACTCAGATTCTGGAACAGTACTGCAGTCCAGAAGTGGATGAGCAATCAGAACTTTCCGCCAGAGTTTACAGCTGCTGAACGTGAAGAAGAAGAAGAAGAAGAAGAAGAAGAAGAGAACAACGGATCAACATCATGGCACACAGGTAGTAACCCATAAGTGCTCCTTTCTTCTTCTAACTAAAGTCTGAGTCCGAAAAAGAACTGCAGCCTCAGCAAATGGAACAGCATACACACGCATGAAATGCACAAGGCATCGGCTATCAGTGCCAACACAAACAGACCTGCACTAGAAATGCAGTTCACCGTCGATGGAAGCAGCAATGTCAACAGATCCATAGCACACGCAAAAAATCGCATAAGGTTTCACTGGTTCTCTGACAACAGGGCACTCGCTATTTTCACAACAACGGTTCACACCACAAACCACGTCGAAAAGCATTCGAAATACCTTCATCTTTATTCCAGAGTATGCGGGTGTTGTTGGCAATGAAAGAGCCAATAGATTAGATGGCTCTGCCTTAGTTACAGATGACTGGCCCATGGATCATGCCGACATTGCTAACGCCATTAGAGAGGTAGGACGTTCTGAGGATTTTGGGAGCAGCACATCTAAGAGTTCAAGAATTAGGGGTAAAGATCGGCACAGCCAGGCACGAGAAGCACACCTGACGCACGAGAAGTCTTGCCAACCAATATAGGACTGGGACTATAAACCGCGGAAGGCTGATGTATATGTTAAAGGGGAAATCTAAGCACCTAAGGACGGGTCCGAAGTGCCGTGAAGATAACCCAAAACAGATCTCATAGCTCATTCCAAGTTAAATCCGTAGCTCACAGTGTCGCGTCGAGGCACTCATCTCAGTGGCTAGGCAACGGAATCACATCCTTCAGTCTACAAACAGAGGAAAATGCAAATGTTATTAACAATTGCCAGAAGCAAAAACTGCCTCGATTAAATACAGTATTTAAAAAATTTTTTTTTTTAGTATCCAGAAGCCACGAGTTGTTAACCATTTGGCTCGGTACTATGGATATCGCAACCCTTCGGCCTTGATTCCATGATAGGTACCGTATATCTGGGAGGAGATGTGACTTTTCTGCCTACCCCAGGGAGTGAACCCGGACCACAAGGAGTTCGTCACCCGGTCACCGCGCAGTCCGGTTTAGCCAACTATGCTAGAGAAGTAAAAGTAAAGATCCCTTTACACGCTCTTAGGCGCATCGGGCATATGGGAAGAGCACCCATATTTTTACAGACCAATCGGCACTCGGTGGTTAATGTGGTCAGCATTACGCCGGCCGTCTTTACTTTCCCAGGACAGCCTATCCTGGTACCAATTTGAGGCTGGGTCCACCTGCGACGTCCTAAACCCCGATAAAAATCCATGCAGCCCGCAGTGGGTTTCGATCGCGGTACGTTGGATTACGGCTCAAACTCGCAACGCTTAAGCCACAGACGCCGCACTACGCTGGAGAGCCAGGCATTAAACACAGTAAAGCTGTATATTCATAATTTCCGATCCAAATCAAGAAAGCAGATAGGACATTAAGTAAACAATCTTTGCAGCGAAAAGTTGTCGTAAGCATAAAGTGCACAAACACGGAGAGGTGGGGGGGGGGGGGGGGGGGGGGATACAGGGAGACAGACTTACAGGCAATAGATTAAATAAAAATATAAATCTTGTAGGAATTACTGCTGGACGCAAACGAGTAGGAGTGGGTGGATGGCTAATTCTCCAATGTGGAATAAAAGATACAACGAGAAAGAGAAGAAAAAACAGGAGGAGGAGGAGAAGAAGAAAAAGAAGAAGAAGAAGAAGAAGTAATAGTAGCAGCAGCAGCAACAGAAGTAAAAGTAGTAGTAGTGATAGTATTATTATTATTATTATTATTATTATTATTATTAGTAGTAGTAGTAGTAGTAGTAATAGTAGTAGTAGTAGTAGTAGTAGTAGTAGTAGTAGTAGTAGTAGTAGTAGTAGTAGTAGTAGTAGTAGTAGTAGTAGTAGTAGTAGTAGTAGTAGTAGTAGTAGTAGTAGTAGAAGAAGAAGAAGAAGAAGAAGAAAAGAAGGAGAAGAAGAAGAAGTAGTAGCAGTAACAGTAGTTATAGTAATAGTGATAGTAGTAGTAGTAGTAGTAGTAGTAGCAGCAGCAGCAGCAGCAGCAGTAGTAGTAGTAGTAGTAGTAGTAGTAGTAGTAGTAGCAGCAGCAGCAGCAGTAGTAGTATTAGTAGAAGTAGAAGAACAGCAGCAACAATAACAACAACAAAAACAACAATAACAACATCAGCAGCAACAACAAGAACAACAATAACAAAAGAGGATCGACAAGAAGATGGAAAGAAGAAGGATCAGAAGAAGATTATATGTGTGCACCTGTGTATATAGACCGATAGAAACACCACCTACATTTTCGCATTCTCAGTAACACCCCCCCCCCCCTTTCCCCAGAAAAAAGAAATTGGCTCACACAAACACATAGTGTTTCTTTACGAATTTCACGAAATTTAGAACTTGCTCACCCCCCCCCCCCCCTCAACACGCCCCATCAAGGAAGATTTAACCCACGCTACTTACACGACTGGACGAACACGCTACCAACTCTAGAACAACGCAGAAAGCTTGCATGTGGTGGAAACGGAGGCACCCTAACGTACTCACACACAAACCACAACTGTGGGTTTAACTACAGACCACGAGCGATAAAACAAAAGAAATGCGTTACATAAACAAAGATGGTGAGGCTAGCAGACAGGCATCTGTACACGCACTGTTCCTCTTGTTCCGTTTCCTGTGCGCCTCGTACAGTTGGGCTATGACTGGGGATCTAGAAAGAGCTTTTCCCCAGTTAGTTCCGTCGCCCAAGGGAGGGAGAATAGACCCTCTGCCCTGTAACAAGCAAGTCACCAGAGGCGACTAATCAGGGGTGTTTTCTTTGAAGTCGAAGCGTACATGTCCGAGAGACGTAGAACTAACAGTCTGCACCCAAATTAGGGAGATCTGTAAAACGAAAGTGAACGCAAAACTAAAGTTTTGGAACAAGACCATATCACAGAAGTGGACAAATGAGTACGACTTTCCGCCGAAGTTTACAGTCAGTGAGTGAGGAGGAGAAGGAAAAGGAGAAGTAGTAGTATAAACGAAGAAAAAGAAGAAGAAGAAAAAGAAGAAGAAGAAGAAGAAGAAGAAGAAGAAGAAGAAGAAGAAAAAGAAAAAAAAAGAAGAAGAAGAAGAAGAAGAAGAAGAAGAAGAAGAAGAAGAAGAAGAAGAAGAAGAAGAAGAAAAAGGAAAAGACATTGAGCATGGGGGCCTATCTTACTTTCCGTCCTTCCAACCATTTATCCTTCACACAGATGTTGTATTTTCTGCATAAAGTTTATTCACTAAGTAATGTACATAAAACGTCGCTGATAGAATATAAAGCT